TTGTTCATTAATTTGTATGATTATTAATTTTTTCAAATGGGCACACTAAGAGATTGCGATCTTGAATTAAATGAAAAGGTACCATTTCAAAATTTGGGATGTCATGTGCTTTTTTTGTAAATACTGATTATACGGTAAATATAGCACGATTAGATTTCGTACGCTGTGAAACACTCTGTCAACTTTTTGGCAACAATTCAGGTAATTTTCAGAAATCTTGTTCTTCATTAAATTGGTAATTATTTGTATTTGTCAAAGGGGTGCTTTTACCCGTGTAATAAATAAACTATTTGCTAAAAATAGCAAATGTTACACTTTGCGGTTCAACAGTCCCGTACAGTGTGTACTGGTGACTGCGCCGTAGCGAAAGGGTTAACTCACGAACAGCGAAGCCAGGTCAATCGTGATCCAGACCTACAAAACATATACAACAATGCTCCGATTAAGATTATCCAATCAAAGTTATACCCGAGACTTTCACGTACGAAAAAAATAATACTTGCAATACACAATAAATACACTCGCAAAAAAGCATGATTGGATATGCTTAATGTTAGAGCATAACGAAGTAGTATTTAAAATTAAGTTCTGATCTTTGCTGCCATTTATTGAATTTTTAGTTTAAGTCTAGCGCTTGAATAAGTAGTATCTTTTAACATTGTGTATGGTGTACTTGATGCGTTTCATTGAAAGTCTACAAATGAACAAAAATTTGAAGCATATTGTAAGGGTCTGTAAAGTTATCTTTTTACAGTGAAGGATATACAAAATATGTTTCTTAGAATAAACCTAAAATGTATGTGTAATAGAATGTATGACCGTCTAAATCAGAATAAGAATAATTTAAATGTTCAAAATTATTTTTCTTCATTTAAAGTGTTACTATAACTAATTTTACGAAACTGATCCACATATGACTCATTTTTTAATTTATCAACATATAATACATCGTATAATCTATCAACTACTACCAGTGAATATTGGTAAGTGTTTAAGTATTTTACAATCGCAAACTATATGTTGTTCGCCCCACGCAAAAGTGCGCAGCAGTTTAAAAGAATAAAATTACTTTGAGATTCGTCATAAAAATCAGAAACACATTAATTTTAAAAACTGCTACATATCAAATCGGTAATTATTTGTGTTTACTAAAAAGTATCTTTACCTTTCATGTGTAAGGAATAAATAAACAGGTAATGGATGATGAACGAAATAAATGAGGACTTCCGGCCCAGTCGATTTCAATTCCGTGCGATGCATCCACCATAATCAAACGGAATTATGCGCCACGAGGACTAACCGATCCCACAAATCAAAGAATCTATGTGAAAGCCGTTCGAACGTCCCATTCGATGAATCGAAGGGTGATGAAGATTCGGTTATGCCGGTGGAATAAAGGGCCCGGTCGATTGGGCGATCAGTCAGGATCAAAGGGAGAGCAAGTAACGGTAAGAGAAAAACGAGGCCCATGAACAGGTATGAGCGCCCAGGACGCTGGCCCAGATTTTCTCTTTACCTTTTACCCCTTTCGTGGTACATAAATCGAACAACGAAAGGGATCATAGAGGGAAGACTCGGGCTTTAAATACCGCAACGTACTTTAATTGTATCATCGAAACGAAGAAAAGAGAAAAAAATCGGCCAACGGAGAGGGAAACGAGGGTTAAAGAAAGAAATGGAAGAAATAGAGCAGAGGCTCGTCGTGTATCATGTATTTTAAGGTATTTGGGTCATGCCAAGGGTGGTAGCACTGTTTCTATTATTGTCTCAGAAGGGAAGCAGCCCCTTCGCTTTCGGAACCCCGACACCTATTCACCTTGAAAATCGCAGATCTCACGAACCGATTCAGCCGCATTCATTCTCTTTGCCGTACCTGGACGAAACTGAAGTGACAACTCTGCGTGTATCTGTTCGGTCTTTCTCGCTTGGTATATCTGTCTGGATCAGTCGGGGACAATGCAAGGAATTAAGGGCGATACTATAGGTGTGGGAATTCTGGGTGAAACACAGATACGGTTTGGCTTGACTCTCACTAGAATGCATACTAATACCAACCGAAATTTTTCTCGTTATATCGAACGAACGATAGAAACGAGTAAGATGCTGTTCAACGTGCGGTGATTTTGACGAACGACAGTTGAAATCTTTCAGCGTGAGGCAGTATCTGATTATCGATGTTTTATCGAATGCAATTTTAAAAACAAATTTTGTGGTAAATATGATATTGTAAGTTATACAATAATGTACTATAAAATTCGTGAGTTTTGGAAAATTGTGTAATTAATTAAACGGTTAAAAATATTTCATATTCTTTGCAACTATATTTTTATATTGCGTTTACTTAAGATGTAAATTTGGAATATTATTGTGTTTTCAAATTTTCAAATTTTATAATTATTGAAATCATTGAAGATATTTCTTAACTTAATGTTTTTCGTTATTATACAGGGTGGCTCACCACATTTTGCCATCTAAATTTGCGTCATTATTATTACTCATAGCAAACAATGTTTCAGATGAAGTTGAATGGTTTTGAGAGGGGCATATGGTATATAATAATATATAATATTATATATAATAATAATGACGTAAATTTAAATGGCAAAATGTGGTGAACCACCCTGTACTGCGAATTACATGGTTTTCTGTAAATTTGAACAGATTTTCATGTAGGTACATTCTTTCAATGTTACTATTGCTATTTGATACAATATTTGGTCTGGTAATACGTTTGTAAATACTAGTATTATTTAATATTAAATAATACTTAAGTATTAGCTAGTATTAGTTGGTATTACTAGTAATTAATATTACATGTATCACTAGTATTAGCTAGTATTATCCGTATTTTTTGCATTAGCTAATATTACTAATATTACTAGTATTACTAGTATGAGCTAATAGAACACCATTTACATTAAATAGAACACCGTATTTCCGAATAAAAATTCAGAACCAACATTAGTCACTGTATCTCTATCATTAATGAAGTGAAAAAGTCTCTCCTTCCTGAACACGTCCGTCAGGTATTCCTTTTTTCCGCTGTTGGTACCCCTCAGAGGGGTAACAAGTGCACGCTTCACGTGGAAATTAAGGATGCAAAAACGTTGGCCCGCAGTAGGAAATTTGAATTTGAATCTAAGCCAGCGTCCGCTCGCGTGCTGTTACGGATCTAGGACTAAATTTGCATACGGAAAGGTGCTGGCGCGGATGAAAATCTTATGGCACTCTTTGTGAGAAGCGTGTTCGATTTTTGTGATACGCGTAACGGCTGTTGCAGCTCTAAACAGCTTTCGATTTAGTGCCGCTTCGAATTTGATCGATTATTCAAATTCAGATTATAACGTATATTTTAGCCGAACACGGAGTGGAGCAACGATTGAGAGAATTATACTGTGGGGAAGGTAAAAGATCGTATACTTGGACACCTGTGCAAGTGTTACTTATTGTTACTTTATCTACAAGCAAATTATTTTATCTCTTTATTGTATATAATAATATATAATATTATATATAATAATAATGACGTAAATTTAAATGGCAAAATGTGGTGAACCACCCTGTACTGCGAATTACATGGTTTTCTGTAAATTTGAACAGATTTTCATGTAGGTACATTCTTTCAATGTTACTATTGCTATTTGATACAATATTTGGTCTGGTAATACGTTTGTAAATACTAGTATTATTTAATATTAAATAATACTTATTATTATTTAATATTAAATAATACTTAAGTATTAGCTAGTATTAGTTGGTATTACTAGTAATTAATATTACATGTATCACTAGTATTAGCTAGTATTATCCGTATTTTTTGCATTAGCTAATATTACTAATATTACTAGTATTACTAGTATGAGCTAATAGAACACCATTTACATTAAATAGAACACCGTATTTCCGAATAAAAATTCAGAACCAACATTAGTCACTGTATCTCTATCATTAATGAAGTGAAAAAGTCTCTCCTTCCTGAACACGTCCGTCAGGTATTCCTTTTTTCCGCTGTTGGTACCCCTCAGAGGGGTAACAAGTGCACGCTTCACGTGGAAATTAAGGATGCAAAAACGTTGGCCCGCAGTAGGAAATTTGAATTTGAATCTAAGCCAGCGTCCGCTCGCGTGCTGTTACGGATCTAGGACTAAATTTGCATACGGAAAGGTGCTGGCGCGGATGAAAATCTTATGGCACTCTTTGTGAGAAGCGTGTTCGATTTTTGTGATACGCGTAACGGCTGTTGCAGCTCTAAACAGCTTTCGATTTAGTGCCGCTTCGAATTTGATCGATTATTCAAATTCAGATTATAACGTATATTTTAGCCGAACACGGAGTGGAGCAACGATTGAGAGAATTATACTGTGGGGAAGGTAAAAGATCGTATACTTGGACACCTGTGCAAGTGTTACTTATTGTTACTTTATCTACAAGCAAATTATTTTATCTCTTTATTGAAATTTTAATAAAATCATATTTTAATAAACTTTATTTGTATCATTTTTCTTTGTGAACTTGCATCGCGTTCTTTTAAAAAAGGTATCGATTTTTTGAACTGTACAATTTATGCTATTTGAATAATGATGTTATTTTATCTGTTAAGAAACCTCGACTTTTCAAGTGTATATTCTCAATGATATTAAGAATTTTTCTTACAATAATAAAATAATGTTAATATAAAGTAGTAGTAATATATAATGTTATAGAATAATAATAATTTCATTGTAATAATAATCTTAATTTAATATTATACATTCAATAATAGATTATTTTTACTTAATTTTAATTATTTACATTCATAAATTATTTGTAAAAAAATATGCCAAAGCAATGTAAAGAAGAATGAAAAAGAGTTAATTGCAAAAAGCAAAATAAAAGTAATTGGACTAAAACTAAACTTAACTTTGATTTAAAAATATTTTATTATACTTCTTATAATCATTGAAATAATAATTTTAATTTACCTTGTGTTGCAGACCGTTTAATTCGTCCTGGAAACCTCCCATTTAAACATTGAAAATCGCCTTAATATCTCGTAACAACGTTCCCATCTGAAAGCAAAATAAATAATATCATCATTTAGCGTTTTTTTTAAGATTTAGAAAATTTACAAAGGTGAATATTCAGTGTAATTAATTTTCTCTGATTACATGTTAATACAAAATTTTCTAACTACATATTACAATTAATATTCTAAATAGACATTGGCAACAAATTCAAATAAATTCATTACTCCAACTAAAATCAATCACTTGGTATATTTATTTGTCAACAGTAGGTCATCAGATATTCTTTCCTCAGCGCGTTCAAGTTACCCTTCCGTCCGATTTAAAAATGGAAATCAATTCCGGGCACACGTTCCAGCCTCGTGTCAAAGTTCCTGATTTTAATTATAATCCAGGGAGGCTGTACCGGTGTCGTATCCGTCGCATCATGCAAATAATTCGAGACGCCGCAAAAGCGAGCACATGCCATTTCCGGCTCGTGTCTTCGGTCCAGAAAATTTAAATATTTTTCTCCCTGTCTTCAGATCCTCTATTTTCGTTCGGGACTAGGTGATCATCGATGCATAGGCACGTGTCCAGAAATCGGCGATTCTAATTCTAATCTTCATGCGGTGAATTTAAATAACGTTCTTCACCCTCGAATTTGATCTTGTACTCGGGCGCGATCCAACGACACGTAACGTTTAGTACCATAGAGGACACGCGACTGAATCACTCAAGCCTTCCTCTGATTTGCATCGTTTTTTTATTTTCGGTCGTCTGGACCGCGCGTGCCAGTATAAGTTTGGTTGATTTTATTCGCCAATCCAAACAGATAGATCTTTAAGGTACTGAATAGAGTACGTGTTGAAACGGTGCATAATTTTCTTCGACCATAGGACTTAATAGAATCATAGCCAAAAGCAATATAGTTAACCTCTTAACCTTCGCGGTTAACCCTTTGCGTCAGTCAAAACTAATTATTACTGCAACATTGAGATAAATACGGGAAATTGAAATGTTAGGTATATTTTGAATTTAACGTTTCTTAATTGTACAAATAATTAACATAGAACTCAAAACTTAACCATGCAAATACGATTTAGATTTGTTACATTGGAACTGTAATGTGCATCACGATTGGGATTCGGTGTCATAAACCAAGAAGTTAATCTATTGTCATATGAGTGTTAGGTTATGAATTAGGTGGAGCAGAATTTGTATTTTTCCAATTTTATTTCACTCTTTTGCTGTAGTAAAGTATATATGTCATTCCTTTATGATTGTGTCATTCCTTTATGATCAAAGAGTTCATAGCAATTTATCTACTATTTCTCACTTGTACTACTCACTATTATTCATATTAGAATTACATATCGTAAAAAGCTGTTCTAGAACGATTTTTCGTCGTTTCAATAAACAAGGAAAAATTTATATAATTATTAGATTGGTAAGTACTACAGTCGTATGTCAGAATAAAACTTGGCAAATGTCGAAACATAAACTCTGACATTTACATCTGTCTTTTGGCGCCAAATCTCAGTGTTAATTAGAAAGATGCTTCGTTCATAAATTTGCAATATTTGTTATTTATCTGTTCGCTTGTAATCGACAAAAATAACCGCTAAACTTTTCAATTTTTACAACAGTGAAAAACATGTGAAGAGTTTAAAGTTAGTAAAAATTTATAATCAAGTTTACTATATGAGGTGTACACAAATTTTTGGATGAAACATCTCTTAAAATTTATATTTCTTAAAACTCTACACACAAATCTTAAACATCATTATTATTAATTTATAACAAATGTGAGTTTTTACCTAATAAAAATATAATTCAATAAAGACATTTGTTAAGTCTTAACTAATATGTTACCGTAATTTGTTTCCGTCATTAATACCAAGCAGCGAAACGCAGTTTTATTAACTTTCTTTATAGCGCAGTTCCTAATATCGTACACTGGACTCTGGTAAACACTGTAATGCTCAAAACCATAAAATAATGGTGTGTAAGCGTAAATTTTTCTCTAAAAGCAAATACCATTTCCTCCTAATGCAAATCATTCAATAATATTTTTCAATATAATTTTTGAATTTTATGTACCAAAAATCGTCCATAATTCTGACCAAGTGTAGTTTTAACTAAGCACTCCTCAGTACAATTAATTTAATTATTTATTTAACAAAATACTAGTCTTCTTAATATTTTATAATAAATAAACTACTAGTTAAAAATAAACTAAATTAGTAATAACGAAATTAGAAATAAACTAAACTAGTTAAATAATTTTATTTAACAAGCTGACAATAATTCCAATGGTGTAACAATTCTGATCAGTAACTTTATAATTCTGCATAATAAAAAGATATGGAATCCAACGTTGCAATGTGTTCGGTAATGCGTTATCTTCTTGCAAATCTCTCATCACCGATTACCTGAAATGAAATATCCCAGCGTTTCTTTTCTACCGTTTCGACATAAAACTGCGAAGTGACGTCAAGCCCTCGGAATAAATACTGGCGCGCGGTCGATACAAATATTCTTCAATCACCCCAATAAAACGTTTCTCCGCGATATCGGATTCAGTTCAATCGAATCGCAAGTCCGGTCCGCTTCATCATCAAACCGACGATCTATTGCGACCATCGCCAGGTGAAATCGCGCATAAAGCTACGTTAAAGTACGCCGATTGGGACGAATCTTCGAGCACAAACCCGGTAAAATCGTTATTGTCACCCACGAATCTCGCGAGAACGGGACGCGTGCAGGTCGTTTCCACGACGGGGCCAAAACAGATCGTCGTTTCGCCTTGAGATTCCAGCATGTCCGCGAACGCGTGTACGACCGTACAATTATTATCAACGTCACCCACGAGTTTCCATACTCGTCACCTACGATCAAGTAAAAGTCGCTTTAACAGGAGGAACCCTGGTTGGCGAATCGGATCCCGTGTAAAACCCAGGGAGACAGAGAGAACGGCCGATTGATCGCTCGTACCTATGACAATTATTACTATCATCGTACGGCGATCTTCGCCCGTGAAACTTCGTTAACACGCTAAAAAATGGCCGACGAGCATCACGGCTCGTCGAACGATCGGCCATTTCGCCAAGACATTTCGTCGATCAACCGATCGACGTTTACTACTATCGTCGAGCATTCGATCTGAGAATTGATTAGCCGTCACGATTTCTTTTTTCTCCTGCACGGACAAATTGTCTAACAAGTTGTGTTGTTCTACACCGTGTCCCGTTCGCCAGATCGGAATCGAGGTATCGGTCGTTTTCCGTCTAGCAAACATTCGTTATCGTCTGGTTGCAGGAATGCTTCCTACTATTAAAATACGCAAATACGAATCGATACAAATGGCGGGAAATTTATTGACGTTAAGGGACAACGCTTAGGCTCGTGTATGCTGATTTTATATATTAAAGAGATTTTTAGCTGTAAATTACAGATATTCTTCCTCTGTGAGGATACTTGATTCTTGTAATTACCTGCGTCAAAGATTTATTTACATAACTAGGTGAAAACAGATGTATTTTAAAAATGTTACGTATAGTAGCATATGTAACAAATGTTAGTATTAGTTAATTTTGGGTTGGTACATTTGAAATAAACATAATTTAAATAATACTTCATTAGGTTTAATACATGATAGAATAGTTAAAGATGCCATTGCAGATTTTTGTGAAATACAATGTCAGTTGATTTACTGTTTTATAAGATGACGTAAAATATTTGTTTAACAAGAAAATAGTTCTGCACATTATAAAAAATTTAATTATCTTGAACATATTCTGACATTTCTCAACAAAAATAATATATGTATGATTATAATAAATAATATATATATTGTCTAATATAAGTAACAGTTATATCTTCTTCATCAGTAATAACGTTCGTAGGAATATGTTGTAACATAAAATCTGTTTCAATTTTCACCAGTTAATTGCGTTCGACGCACATACGCGTCAATTCGAAACTTTATTTCGATACGGTTGACGTGTATACTCGTGTAAAATAAAAAGTTATTATTTACTATAAAAACTTGAAATTTCAACAAGAAGTAATAAAAACGTTATTTAGTGTTATGTTTCTGGTATATTACCAATAAAACTGTTATGTATTTTATAAAAACTGTCCGACTATTCTCTTTAGATGTTCTCTTGGACATTCTTGTATTATATTGGATATTCTCTGTACAATGTATTACATTTTACAGACTGAGTTGAATATTTTCTCCAATGCATTGGTATTCGGTATCTTTCGAAAAAATCAAACTTTTGAAAAACACCATAATGAAATTATCTGAATGCCATTAAATTTTTTTTTCTTCCATTTTTCTTGTTTACTAGATTTATTATTTTTTGATTTTAAGTTTTTAATAACAGTAGCATTTTCAAAAATAAGTTCGTTTTATGTCGAATAAAAATCCTCGTTAATATCATAATAAAAGTATTTGCCCTGCGTCCGACGCGTATATTCGTCATTGCTTGATTTTAATTGCACATCCCGCGAGAGATTTTTAAAATTAAATACTGCAGTTAACTGGTTAAGAGCTTCATTATAACTTCTTACAAATCGCATTAATTCGCAAGGAAACATTTGCAATTAGTTTGAAGCTGGCATGAAATAAGGACATAAAATATTGTATAAAAACAGTAAGTGAACTTTGCATGCTACAATTTTAATATACTTGTATGCCAAATTTTGTTTATTCAATTATTGCTGTACGAGGTATGTACAATGTTTGAAATATAGATTTCGTTTGAAGATATGTAGCATAGATACACATCTGTAGTTAGTAAGAAGTTTTAAGTAATTTTGTGAAACTGTAGTACATATTTCTATGAAATAAAGGAAAAATACAAATTAAAAATTTTCTCAGGATGGAAATTTCAAAACTTTTTAATTTCTTAAGTAAAAATTTTGAAAATGTAAAAACTTCAAGTTTTGGAAATTTAAATTTCGAATTCTGGAATTTATTAATTAAAAAATATCAATCTTTGAAAACTTCATACTACAATTTCAGAACGTAATAATCTGAAAATTATATTATTCTT